AAAACGGTCAATTGCAAACGGAAAAGGCTCATTTTGTTGCTAATTTTTCAAACTATTCACCATAAAATTGTTAACGAAAACTGTCGAAAAAAAATTAAGTACTTAAGTGAAGTAATTATTTATTGTTTGTTGATTGTTTGCTTAGAGAATAATATTTCGGTAACCTTGTTGGGATAGTGCTGCGAGAGTAGTTAGACCGGTCTCAATGGCACTCAAGCTAGGATCATGTGTTCCAGCTTGATGATGCTGCTCCAAAAGTAGAGAGAGCAGTAAGATAATCCAATATACAACAGCCACCAGCAGAATCATCCACCACAAATCATTGGTGAAGGGCTTCAAGAAATTGTTGCGCAGGGTTGAACTCTTTGGATGAAGAAATACGAAGGTGGTATCTGCGTACCAAGTCACTGCCCCGTAATCCACAACCTTCAATCGTGCAACGTGAAACTCAAAAGGTGTGATACTCATGTCGATGAAGCCTGAGATAATGTCTCCGATGATTCCGTTGTAGGATCCATTGTGGAGGTAGCCAAAAGTTGATGCTTGATGAAGATTTATGCTGCGAAAATATTTTCAATAAAAATAGCCGAGTATTTAAGATCTGTATAATTGTTTTTTGAGTATTCTCTACCTGAAATTATACATGTCTTGAAGATACAATGTCAGTGGATATTGAGATCGGGTCATTGGATCTAATTCTCTATTTGATTGACTCGATAAATAAGTCAACAGATCTGGTAAAGCTGGATTGGCTAGCTGAAATGTACGAAAATCATTGATAAGGTAGATAAAAAGTTGAAAAGGAGAATCTAGTATTGCATAGCGTCTCAAAATCGGGTTCAGGCCCGAGATGAAATATTTTTGGTAAATGTGTGGTTCAGGTCCGCCAAAAAAACAAAAAAAAAATCATTGAAATGTGAATTTTTAGGGTTAAAAACCATTCTTATCCTCTCACTAGTCAATAACAAGACGAAAGAAGAGAGAGAAACAATAAGGATTAATCAGATGATGGAAACCCTTCCAATCAAATAAAAAAACATCCAGAATGGTTTGGTGGACCTGAACTAGACATTTACCATATTTTTTTATGCAATTGATTCCATTCGCTCAGGCCAGGGAAAATTGACCGTTTTCTGACCATTTTCTGACGCTGAAATAATTCTCCATTCATAATTCTAGTCAGCAACAAGCAGTGTAAACACTCTAGGAAAATTACCGAAATTCATTTAGGTAGCTGCAAATTGACGGTCATTTTTTCCTCGTAGTTTTGTTCTGAGAATTCCAAATAGAATCGCATTCCATAATCAAATCAATGTTCATGAGAATGAATTAGAGCACAATATCCAGTTCATTACTCGAGATAATTTACAGCAAGAATGAATTTAATATATACCGTTGGTAATTTCCTCGTCATCCGGTAACTAAAAAAAATTGTGAGTCAACTATTGAGATGAAAAGAGACCGTGAGATTTGAACTCGTAATTTTTCGAATTTCTGACGCAATTGTCAGATTCCTAAAGACTGTAATTACCAGTAATTTGACCGATCAGGTTTACCACTCGCAACACTAGTTCGTGCTATTTCGTACCGTAAGTGAGATATTGAGGGACAATTTGTTAAGATCAGCTCGACGTTTGTACTTGTATTCACTCAATCCATATCTGAAACCTTCTCCAGACCTCCATTGGCCTTTATCAATAATCCGTACAGCAGTGCCATGACGGTAACTCGGATTGTACACCTCGTAAAGCTTGAAGACATCATCAGCACAAGTTGTGAATGTCAGTTCTGAGGCTACTGTCAAACTCAAACCTCCCAGATAATCGATGGGTATTGTTGTGAATTTTGATAGAACCAACCAGTAGTAAGATTCATTGAAGTGCAGCTGAGCCGAGAACTTCCAGGCGAGAAGTTGGTAAATTCATGGAACAAGAGGATATGAATTTAATAGTCATAAAATAAATCCCGTCGGTCTTTCAATGCATTTACTTGTTCTTTTTGTATCAAATCGAAATGTAATCAACTCAGATTCGTGCAAGTCTTCAAGCAGACGCACATCGAAAAATCAATCAATGGATCGAGTGACCAGAATTTTCCTGAACAGGTGATTCTAAAAGTGTGACTACATACTTGATCAAGAATATTTTCGCTGAAGGGACAATCGAAGTCCAACACGACTCCCACATGATAATAATTCACACGTAGAATATTCGTCATATCTGCTGTATTTGTGACAGGATGATAAGTGACAACTGCATTCATTCCCATAATATTGCGTGAAAGATCAACCCCATCTAAATTTAAATGTAAAACCAATATAATACAATACGTAAACAATACAATGAACAATTATTGTAACAAAGTTGGTCGGACTTAAGCTTTTTGAGAAGCTTTTGCTTTCGAATGAAAGTATTGTGATTGTTCAAATTAAAGTTTCTATTTTTTGTGTTATGTCGGCGTACTATTTCTCAAAAAATTCAAAAAGGCTATTCGCCGAGGTTAATTATAATTCAATTCATTTATTAACCATTTCAATTTTTGAGCTTGACAGAAATACTGTTATGAAATATTGCAATTATGGTTTTGAAAAATTGTTTCGATGGCTTGTTGGCCGAATTGGAAGAATGAAATAATAACAATAACAACCGTTGCATCGATATATAAGAAAGGCTGCCAGAAATTGGTACTTTAGATATATCTGAATCCCCGGTCTATCGTCGGATATTCTTCTCCAATTCAATTTGATTTTGGACAGTCGCATTCTAAATTAGGAAGTAATCCCTGGACTATATATGTTGATATACTTTTTGATTTGATGTCAATTGTATCGATTGTTGTTAATTTCGATTTTTTCTCCATTTTTTTTAAGTCAACTTTCTGATTCTTTCATATGTTTTGGTTTTCTTTATCTATTATATTCAGAATTCATTTGATTATGTGTGGAGGAAATATTCAATAAGATTTTATAGAAAGTGTAAATTCATTGAAAATGAGATAGCAAGGGAAACTGAAATCAGGGAAAAAATGAATCCTCTTTTTGATGACGACCGATCATTCGGACGCATATTGATACTTTACTATCAAAAATAAATATAACCTATGTAATGAAAGCAATTTCTTACTTCAACCGCGTAAAATTATATATCCGAGATATATTTAACATATATCTAATACTCATATATAATGTGAATATTTAAATTACAAATAGGATATAGATCAGATATATTTTGAGCGAAAAATGCTATCTGATATTTGTTCCGTGTGGGTTGTTTTATTCAAACACATACACGGAAAGAAATCTCCACTAAAAATTCGTACGAGAATTGCTCTACAAATTACCGGACGGCGCAGCAAGCTTTGTCGATTGCGATTAATACTCAATATTTTAGTTCAATCAGAATCAGAAAAATGAATGGGTGATACAGCAAAGAAGTGGACTGTTTATTATTAAATCCGCCGTTTCACGAATATTTCAGTTTTTCAGCAGTACAATTTAGAAGATTCAATGAACTTCGGAGTAAATTGAGAATTGGTCCAGTAAATTTTGTTGCCCTGCGCAGTAAATATTCCGGAGAACTGCAGGGATTCTTTATGAATTTCACATGACTTTTCATCAGTACAGTGCAACATCTCACGTTTGCTAATACGAGACCAATAATTTTTCGTGGATATTTTTCTCCGTATACATATTACATATTCGAATAATACCTGAATAATCCCAACAAGCGAAGATAACAATCTGATGGATGTTGCAAGCTTCATAATATTCTCTAATGAAGTCACCGAAAAGCCCATGAGATTGGCAAACGTGGATCAACGCAAATGATATAAAGATGAAAGTAACGACGTTCATAGCAAAAGTACCTTCAAGACACCATAGGCAGTAGTGAAGAACCACTCGAAATTTCAACTGCACTGGAGTGGGTGCACCGACAGGAGCTGTAGGCTAAATTATGTAAACCATATACTTTAGCACACATGGTAGGTTCTAGAAATTACGCCGCAAACGTCATGAAATCGTTGGGAATTCAGCAGGTGGCTTCCACGAAATTCGAAATCATATATCGGTGAGAATGTTTTCGATGGGAAAAGAGCGTGGATTTTCCCAAAATTATGTAAAGAAACGATTGCAAAAAGAGAAAAGAAAGTTTCTATAGAATTAATAGCAGAGATCGTGAGTTGATTTGTTGCATTCACCGGACGTACTTCATTATTAGAGAATTATTGAATCTCTAATTTTAAAAATTTAACTGAATTTTCGTCATATCAGGGTTCTCCTGCATTCAGAAATCCATTATGCAAGTTGAATTTAGAAATGTTACAAAAAAAAGGTAATTGTTGACTGCAATTCAATTATTGAATAAAAATTGGCAAAAGTGTGTAATTAGAAGTTTTACATTCTCTAAAACTATATAAATCCAGAGAAATATATGCATTTAATATATCAGAACGGAAAAGTCCCAAAACAGATAAAGAATAAATAAAATAAAAATTTTTCTATTCAGAAAACTGCATGTAATGCCAGCCAATTGTATATATTTCAAGATAACTTTCTCATAATATATTCCTTCTAAAGAGAAGAGATAGATAGACTGGAGGCTATAATTCGCCAAATCGAAGGAGCTAGTAATTTCGTAATCGATTTCGAAACTTACTTATTTGGAGAGGGCGCACTCCACATTCTGTCGGCGTTCGTTTCAGTTTCGTGAGCTTCCATTGTGCCACGAACATGCGCTTTGATATGATTTTGAATAGAACGCGACTGAAGTGAATAGTGTCCTAATACTACAAATATATATATATATATAGATATTGTGAATACTGTATTCACAATAAATTATCGTACCCTGCATAATTCGGATGATCTAGCGATTAAAAAAACAGCATTATTTGAATGTGAAATAGATTTATTCATACGATCAATCAAGTGGATAACATTTCAAAAGCAAAAAAGCGGACAAATGAGAAAACTATTGATTGAAATCAAGTAGAGACTTCCACGTCCTCAGGTTCATCCTGCTGCGTTGAAATGAAGGCATTTATCCTAGCCAAGTCTAATCTATTCTCCATATAAGAATGCACATATTCCATCATCAAAAGCATCACAGACATTCCCAAACCAATAGCTAGGAGAAACAATGCTGGACTGAATTCTTGAATGCCCATTGGAGTTGGTTTGTTCTCGTAAGTTTTTGGACACTCAGGCCGTGGGACATGCCATATGCTGTCCAAGTGATATATTATTCCAGATTGAATAATCTTACGGACTCTGAAAATGCAATGGTATAACGATTAGTGGTAATGTTGAAACAACACATGAAATTTTGCATCTGTATTCAACCCAAATTATAACCACTATGAATCATTTAGTAATTAGTTAATAGATTCGCACTAAGGAATTATTTAATAGACTCGCCCGGCTTCGCGGATAGAAGGACCATAGTATCACGAAAAAAATCGATGAAAATGCAAATAAATACCGACAGTCAAACTAATAGACTAGCCTATGAGAATTTCTGAATATGTTCACAGGATTTAGAATCATTGTACATGTTAGGCCAGTTATGAACAGGCCTTTTAGTTGCCTTACTTGTCAGTAATAGTTTTACCCCCCTTTCCCTCGTCACCCGCATAATGAGTGAGTCATTTATATTTATGAAATCTAAATTGAAATTAAATGAATGTAATGTAAATCCATTAATTAGAATATCTGTAACGGGGCAACGGTGGTACACCAAAATGACCCTTTCTATAATTCGTTATATGTATCACAATGAATTTTCAATTTATATTCCAATGTGGTCATTAGTTGAAGTAATAGCCACAAAAAATTATTATGTTGTATTTGCTTTGATGAATAACTATTATATTGTTTAAACAAATTAATGAAAAAAAAACACTTATTCTCTATAACACCGGTGCGCGATACCTCTAGGAGAAAAAGTAAAAAGAATCAAGTTTTGTTGAAAGAATGGGAAAATAATTTTATCTGAACGTGATATTCACCCGTAAATTATCATTTTTTTGAATGGAGATCCTTTTCCAACGATCAATGAGAGTCTTAATGGCTTGGCAATTCTGATTTCTTCCAGGCCGCATATCTGCTCTTCAAGGAATTGTGCCTAGAAAATTGAATTAAAATATAGTTGATATTCTAGAACTCGATATCTAAATGCACTCTAACAATTGCCATTACATCCCCTCTAAATTCCTTCTCCAATGATTGAGCCAAATGTAAATTTTTGTCTTCTTCAAGGTACTATCACAGGAGGGGTACTTGCGAGAAATTGTATAATATGCTAAAACCGCTAAGTTTAAACTATCGGTTGTTAGACCCATGCAAAATTTTACGGACTTTATCTCTCCGTGTTTGAAATGTGGATCGTTGAATGCCGAAATTTGGGTTTTTCTTTCAAAATTTGACATTATACATTTCAAAAACAATGTCGTAAAAGTTCTTGACATTTTGGTAATATTGCTTCCCTCTAGCCATATGGATAGTTCAAATATGATGTCTCATTGAATTAAAAATAAAATATGTGATTACCGCATTACAAAATTATTCACAAGAATAAGTAACTTATGCAGATTGAACTCTAAATGTCGGGAAATACTTGAAATGAAAAAAAAAAAACAGTAAGTAACTGCGGAAGTACTTCAAGAGAGATATTTTCAGAAGATTCGTGCTTAATGTCCAACTGCCACAACTATCTTTTCACGAACTATATACCAAAAAGCCGTTGAAAACTACAATTTAGCCAGTGCTAATCGATATTACAAATATGCTCACCTGGACTATTGGGTAGGTAGCAATAGTACCACACAAAAAAGCATATCCGCCTTTCTGTATTTGCTTGAATCCTCGATCCAACGGTAGAAAAGCGTTGGGGTGTTCCTTCCGTGACTTCATCTTGCGGTTGTATAATTCAACCACATCCGGATCAGTTGCAGTCTGAAAATATCATTATACCCTAAAACTGGGGCATAAACACAATTCACAAAATCCGACAATTTCGGAAATGTTCACTGGAAAGAATAGAAGATCGATGTGGCTGAATTAGAATCCTCAGTCTCAGTTGTAATATCGTCTACAAGGCGAATACACGTCAGCGGTTGATTGATAATACAATCCGAATTTAAAGAAATAAACCATTGGCATCATTCACATCAAGCTAACACGTAAATACTAATCTACTAAATTATTAGTACGATAAAGATAATTAAGGGTATCCTACGCCCATCTACAGTCAAAATTTGGGTTTCAACATTTTTTTACCAAGTTATCGATGGAATTGATGTAAAAAAATATCACGTCTTTGTGTTTTGTCATTATTTAATGACTCATGAAGCTTCAAGGAGGCGCGAACATTTTTCAGCATGTTTTCTAAGCTTTTAAAAAGAAACACAAAAGTACAATTGCCAATTTGTTAATTTGTTCAGTTCTAGATTTGGGAAAAAATTAAAAATGCGTGAATTTTGACTATAAATGGGTAAAGAACATCCTTAATGTACAGATAGATTAGATTACCTCGAAATAATTCCAATAATACGATATGTTTTGAGCGCCCACATCGAGGTGACTGTCAGTAAGAGCTTTGATGGTCTTGATCCAACGAGGAGGAGGTGTCATCAAAGAGCTTACGATACTTGCCGAGTAGAATTGATAGAGAAGGAGAGCCCAAAAGAAAAGGGAAAGAAATGTGATTCGTCCGGAAATGAAATTTGGACTGTCACTCAATCCTAAGAATTGAAAGAGAAAATCTTCGTTACGAGTAAATTATAATTTTAAAAAATGAGATCTATTTTCGCTGACCTTGTTGTGACAATGCTGCAACAGTAGTCAGACCGGTGTCAATCGCTGTCATCTCGGTATCTTCATGCTTACCTTCATAATGATGCTCTAATACCAGAGAAAGCAATAACAAAGTCCAATAGACAGCGCCCACCAATAAAATCATCCACCATAAGTCATCAGTGAAGGGTTTTAAGAAATTGTTACGAAGCGTTGATATTCTTGGATGAAGGAATGTAAACTTGGCTTCAAATTTCCAAGTTTCAGCAATATATTCTATGAAATCCATTCGCCCTGTGTGGAATACGAATGGAGTTAGGCTCATGTCGATGACGCCTGATATTATATCGCCAATGATTCCGTCGAAAGATCCATTGACAGGATAGCCCCAACTTGTTGCCTGATGTATTTTCATGCTGTGCACAAAAAATATTATAAAATTATTATCGATAGTGATAGAATATTTGACTGTCATTGGAATTTTGGAAAATCTTCTCCGGAAGATTCACCTGAAATTATACATATCTTGGAGATACATCGCCACGGGATAGTGAGCTCGAGTGAGAGTATCCTTTTCTATACTCATGTATGTTGATAAGTAAGTCATAAAATCGGGTAATGGCGGGTCGTACAGCTGAAACATACAACAATAATCAAGGTGATGATAACTAGAATTACCATCTGTGTAATACCACAAAAGTTTGCAAATTATAGAAGATGAGATCTACTGCGCAGTGCGTGTACCGAATTTGAATTTCCCGGTTCAAGTTTGCCAATAATCAATCTTGCGACTTTCGAGATATTTCGACTCGAGGGAGACTTCATTCATGTATTTGGGGATTTCCCGATCGATTCGTTGCAAACAAATAAAAAATTTGTTTTAAATCGATTAGACATTTAATTTAATTTAATTTAATTTAATTCAGTGCAATTGAATTTAATTTACTTAGATTGAATTTAACTAAGTATCTAACCAGTCAGACGTGCGCGGTAGCGCATGTTCATGAAGAATTAGCGCTTTAGCGCTGGAAAGCAATCATAATATGATTGAATTGAAGAGTTACATCATTTTTCTACCATTTTAATTCTTATAAAAGTGCTCCATAAAATGAGGAAAACTCCTGATGACATCTGTTGCGATCCCGTTCTAAGATTCTGTTCTAAAACTCCGGAAAAATCGAGTAACTCCTTAATTCTTATCTCCATTTTGGTAAATTTGAAGCTTGTGTGGTATTTGGCGGATTATTTTTCCAACCCAAACGGCAGTTAATAGAATTGCACCCTGAGACGAAAACCGATATTAAGATGAAAAATTAGTAAATAAATTTAAAGTGTTAGTCAAGGGAGATTATCAGATTGAAAGGAATCGCGGGACCGAGAATACGGCAATCCGGTTGGCTAAAATCGAAATGAAAAAAATAATCAGTTAAAAATCCTCTTGATCCCATCACGTGACATCGAATAGTGCAACTGTATTGGTTGAGGTTGGGGTTGGGAAAATAATCACATGTACATTCAGATAAAGTACTTCTTACAACAACAGAAAAATTCAGGCACGTCTGCTGAAGATCAGTTCGACGTGTGTATTTGTATTGAATGAGTTTGTCATGTAAACCATTTCTAGGGGTCCATCGGCCCTTATCGGTGATGACCACCGAGCCACCATGACGATAACTTGGATTGTAAATGTCATAAAGTTGGAATTCATCCTTTTCACGAATTGCTGATGTCAATTCTGATGCTATCGTAAGCGGCAGAACCTCAAGATATTTCATCGGTATTGATGACAAGTGTGATAATACGAGCCAGTGGTAGGATTCATTGAATGGAAGATGATTCGAAAACTTTCCGAACAAAAATTATCAGTTACAATATCTCAAGACCTTCAAAATTATTACGATTAATTTTGAACGTCGAGGGATATTCAGGGAATTTTTTTCTAGAGCGGGAGTTAGCCAACGAGTAGAGGGGAATATATCACTAACATCCAAACGTTTAATTGTTTAAGGTTGTTGTCGCGTAGAATTTTTTTTCGACAGTTTTCGTTAAAAATTTTATGGTGAATAGTTTGAAAAATTAGCAACAAAATGAGCCTTTTCCGTTTGCAATTGACCGTTTTGAACTTGAGATATAAATTTTTGAAATTCGAGTGATTTAACACGTGTTTAAATGGAGTTTTGCCGATTAGAATTTTTTAAAAATCAACGGCTCAACAGTTTCAGAAATAAAAAAAAACGTGGAATATACATCGTGGGAGGAAATACAGAAAAAAAAATCAAATCGATTGACCGTTTGGTTTACGGAATATAATTATCGGAAATTCATAAATTTAGATAATTGAAAATAGTTAATATGGAAAATACATAGTTATGCTTTAGCTATCCATGCACAATGCAATCAATCAAGTGAGACTATATACCGCTAAAAGATTGTGTTCTAAACTGGCCCGTTTTACAGCGGATAAACTTTTTACAGAGACTGTCGCGCGACAACAACCTTAATGAGGAATTAATGCAGAGCTATTATCTATTTATCAGATGCAATTTCCATCTGCTGGTCTATAATTTCCGGAAAAATTTTAAACAAATCAACGATTCACCCTCCAATGCAGATTGACTGTAATCCAGTGCCGGAAAATAATCAAATTAATTTATGAGTAAGTGGAGATTCTCGTGACAAGGTACCTTCTCAATAACATTGTCACTGAGGGGACAATCAAAATCCAGTACAACTCCCAAGTGGTAATAATTGACCCGTAGAATATCTGTCAAATCAATATCAAATGTTGTAGGACGATAAGAAATAACTGTATCAAGTCCCATGATATTCCGCGTAATGTCAGCTGTGGAAAATTCAAATTGGAAGAATTTTTCGTGTAGAAAGTGGAAAATTACTCAGTTATTTGAATTATTTGTTGAAAAGAATGATTCCCTAATTATTTCATCTATCAGTGAATATATAATTTTTCGAAATCACCATTTTTCCTAATTATCGTAAATTTCTAATCAATGAAATATTGGAATTTCGTTCAACGCATCATGAATTTGAAAAGATAAGACAATCAAAACAAAGCGATAATTAATATTAAGAGATATAATTATTTAATAAGAATTCACGGAGAGAAAAATATAGAAAAAAGTACGTGACTTGTCACGTAATCGCCAGCGAAAGATTGAGTTCAGTTATTTTTATCTAAAATCATGGTAAAAAATAAGAGACGGTCAGTAAATCTTATTATTTGCTCCGGCAAATCTACGGTACTATCACGTGTTCTTTTCTCAACTTGTAAAACTCCCAATTTTTACATAATAACAATAACAAATCTCTAGCATATGTGTAAAATCGTTGCTTGAAATGCCATAGATCGAGAGTTCAAATCTCGATTGGATAAAAAAAAACGTTACAATCAATTTTACGGAACTGATTTGGCAATTTTCCTACCCGTGTAGTACTTTTCCAATTTCGCCGTTCATCCCACGCATTTACGTTTCAAACAGTAATTTTCACGGAACTTCTCTTTCCAGCATTTTCTCTCCGTGAAGTAGCCAAAAATGAAGTCCAAAAAGAGTCAAGTAATTATGGAATGAGATAGAAATTTTCTTCGATTGTAAAATTTCTTTCAAAGTTATGAACTTTATTTGATTTTTCACTTTTCATTATATACCTGCATAGTCCCAACAAGCAAATATGACAATCTGATGGATATTACTCGCTTCATAGTAGTCCCTAATGAAATCAATGAGAATTCTATCGGATCTACAGAGTCGGATGAACAAAACTGATATCACGAATAGAGTAGTTGCTTTCATGACGACTATCACTTGAACGAACAATGCGCAGGAGTAGTGGGTTTTTTGGCTTTGAAACTCCACCCCGATGGGCGAGGCTGTGTCAAATGCACGTGAATTATTCGGAACGTGCACTTAAACGCATATGGTAATTTGTGAAGTTTAACATACAATCAAAAAGCCCACCACTTCAATTGGTTGTGGACAACGCACGGCTCCCCAAAGACTACATTTTCTCAAATCACATGTCTCTGTAGGTGTCGACAATAAACTGTTAATGATCATGTATACGCAATGAATTATCAAATTATCATATCTTCATCTGCAAATCTATTTAATCTCACCTGAGATCTAATCATAATAATACTCATGAACAATCAGAAGAGTGTCCGTACATGAATGTTAGGGTACTAGTAAACAATTGTTTAGATGTGGCAAGATCGGCGAATCCTACAGTTCTAAAAAACTTACTACATTGTGTAACTATAAATACTCAATCTTCCGGATTTATTTGATCAATGGGTTCTGGTAATTTTGTGATGTCTCTCTGTGTCCCGTTTGTTTTATTCTCCATATGAAAGTAGCAGTACTCTATGATTAATGTGACAATAGATACCGCAGCCCCAATGCACAAAAGAAATAATGCTGGACTGAATTGTGGCATTCCCATAGCTGTTGGCATAGAGCTGTAGCTCTCAGGACACTTGGGAAACTTTCCACGCCAATATTGCCGTACATACGCGAGCAATCCTCCTTGTATGACTTTTGTTAATCTGAAAGAAAAAACGATTGCTATTTTCCTTTCCCAAATGACTCTTTATCCATTTATTGATTTAATTATTCTTCATGTTAACCCGTATGTCATCATCTTGTGAAATGGCGTATTCTTTGGCAAAAGTGGTGACATCATGGTACGCGGTTGGAAACGTACTTCTTCTACTGAACATATCTGTTCTTCTGTGAAGGTGTCCTGCAAGACTTCTCATGTCATTCAGTTAAAACAAATAAATAGTATATAATATACTATTTGTGTTGCATGGTCATTCTTACCCTGATAATCCGGTAAGTTGAAGCAGTTTCTGTAAGGAATGCATACCCACCCTCTTGAACTTTCTTCAGACCTGAAGGTACTTTCAGAAAAGCATGTGGTCTATATTTCACAGACGAGTTCATTTTACGATTGTATAATTCACTCACATCGGGATTTTTCGAGGCCTGCACAATATTTGAATATTTTCAAAAAAATAAAAAATAAATTTTTAGTAATTATGTTTCTGGCTCAAATATCGACCAATAGAATTGCAACATTCGACGTCACGTGGTACCATCTACTACACGGTGTTATAATGATGGTTTTTTGATAATTACCTCTGGTAATTGATATATATAGAAAAGACAACATGATCGAGATATAAAATTCTTATTTCTTAACTATGAGTTTTGTCGCATGGTGCAGTTCTACTGGCTGACATTTGGGTGGGAAAAATAATCCCTCGAATACCACACGAGCTTGAAAATTATCTGGCATTTCCCTCAATGTTCCCTGCAAACAAGTAAAGTCATTAAATTTGTCAGGATTTTTACCCTGAAAAACGTGATTCCTACACTTATTTGCAACGAATCTATTGGGAAATGCCCGATAATTTTCGAGCTCTTGTGATATTATAAATGATTATTTTGATTATTATTGCGATTTTTTCCAATTCGCTTGCAGTATTGGTGGTTACTTGACACCTTCACGTTCGTGTTGCTTCAGAACGAATATTTTTGTCTTCACTTTTCAGTTATTTTTACAAAAAAAATCAAGATACTTTGACAATTTTTAGGAAAAGCCAACTTTATCGATTTTTCTGATTTACTTCATGTTCTGCAGTATCACTACTGAAATACTGCTTGAATTGAAGATTGAATAGGAAAATAAAATGTCGATGTACCTGGAGCCACTCCCGAAAATGTGACACATCAATGGCGCCAACAGTCAAATCGCTTTCAACGAGGGCTTTCAGAGTTTTGATCCATCTCGGTGGAGTTGTCATCAAAGAACTGACAATACTTGCTGAATAGAACTGATAAAGAAGAAGAGCCCACACGAATAACGAAAGAAATGTGATACGTCCGGATGGAAAATTGGGGCTGTCGCTCAGTCCTTCCGACATTAAAAACAGACAGATTGATAAAACAGAATGACTATGAGAAGAGCAACTCACCTTGTTGTGATAAAGCTGCTACTGCAGTCATACCGGTTTCAACCACACCCTCACCAATGTCGTGAGTCTCTGCTTGATGATGATGTTCCAGCATCAGGGAGAGAAATAATAAAGCCCAGTAGATACTACCTACCACCAAAATTGCCCACCACAAGTCATCGGTAAATGGCTTCAAAAAATTATTACGCAAATTCGTTTGTTTCGGATGAAGAAATGTAAAGGTAAAATCGGTGAACCAGGTTGACACCACATGGTCCACTAGTCCGCCTCGTTCTGCAATAAGTTCAAAAGGCGAGATACTCATATCTACCCCATCATCTCTGATTAAGTCGCCCAAAATTCCATTATAAGATCCGTTAACTAAATAGCCCCAGTGCGCTGATCGATATACAGTAAAGCTGCAAAATATTTCAAATTAAATAATCAATAAATTTCCTGTCAAGCTTATTAACTCTAGCATCAAAACACTCTTTACTTAAATTTATACAAGTATTGAAGATACATCATTATAGCATAATGACTTTTTTGCATTGGATCAAGTCCTTTATTCTTTGTAGACGTCAAATATCTGATGATATCTGTTTGTGCAGTGAAATTTACATTTGCAAACTGAAAATGAGAAATCATGATAAAGGAATTTTCGTTATTTCAATAAGTCATACCGTGATCGTTAAGTTCAGAGTTACGCCACCAAGATTTCGACGTTCGTATATATATTGAGTCAGTTCATCCTTTAAACCATTTTCCCGTGTCCATTGTCCTTTGTACTTAGTTATGACCTCACAATCATGACGATAACTCGGATTGTAAACATCATAGAGTAGGAATGCATCATTTTCACGAACAGCAAATGTCAATTCAGTCTCTATCGTGAGCTTCAGGTGTTGCAGATATTTCACAGGTATTGGCATCAATTTTGAAAGTACAAGCCAGTAGTACGAATTATTAAAGTGCAGGTGCGTTGAAAACTGTAGTACCAAAAATAAATCAAAACATTTTTGCATATAATTTCTCAAGGGGTTGAGTTCCGCTGAATATACAAAGAAAAGTATCTCAAGACCACCGTTATATACGAATCAGAAATTTAAGAATTGTAAAAATTTATGACAACTCCATTGAACCAAATAGTCTACAGGTTTCCTAATTTATTGGTTGAAATATTTTCATATATTGTATTGTTTCTTATTCAGCTCAAATAAATAGTAATAATAGTAATAGCGTATTGTATGACCTGTAAATTATGTGCTAAAAATTATGGAAGTGTCAGTTATTTTGCATACATCTTCTAGGAAGTGACTAATGTATTGTCCGAATCTAGTAATATTAAATAAATCGATCCCTTCAAGAACTAAAATTTGTAATTTTTTATGCTTCTCAAGATATGTTTTATAATTCATATAAATTCGGTTATATTCAATTCAACGCCTCACAAGGAGAAGATGATAATATGATCCTATCACTCCCTTCAAGTTGTTCATCTAATTGAATCAGGCAAAATTGCATCCTCAATTCCTATTAATTGTGTTATTAAATGGTGGATAAATTCAATTTTTCAGAACAATTCGCTACAGAAATTATACGTAACTGCTACCCAAATAGTCTTACCTTATCAAGAATATTTTCACTGCGCGGACAATCGAAATCCAACACAACTCCGATTTGAAAATGAGCTGAACGCAAAATAGTGGTAATATCCACATCACTCGTTGTAGATCGATACGTGATGAAATTATTGAATCCCATGATATCTCGTGATAGAGATGCTGTGATGAAAAATATTTGATAATACCGTGAAGAGTGATTTCTTTTACAACGAAAAATAACTAAATTCGAATAATAGAAACGTCTTTCCTATCTATCCATTATATTTATATATAAAATTATCTACTGTTCTTACTGAGATGTTAATTTATTTGAATAGTACCTGCATAATCCCAGCAAGCGAATACGACAATTTGATGGATATTGCTCGCTTCATAATAATCTCGGATGAAATCGAAGAGAATTTTATGAGATAGGCAGGGTTGGATGAGTGCAACTGATAATATGAAGAAAGCAACTGCCTTCATAGTGTCTCTATCAATTGAACGAGCAGTGTGTTATGGATGTTCTAAAGTTTAAACTCCCCTCACTGGGCGTGACCATGTCCACACATATTGAGTTATGCAAACCATATACTAACCCCCCATATGGCAAATTCCGGGGGTTAATATGCAATCATGAAGGCTCATATGTTCATGCACAAGGCAGATGTCTCCCCGCAATTTCCATTCTCGCCAATAATACGTGTACTCGTCTCCGTTAAAGAAAAATACAAGTCTTTTCTTCATGATTAGTTCTTTGCGTAAAAATCGAAACCATTTTTCACCGGATTAAGAAATTGATAAATATATTGCTAAGCTTATAAGATTAAATTTAAAATTAAGATAATTAAGATTTAAATTATGTTCGATAAATAGTATATTCCGTTAGTAAAAGAGTTTGTAATTTGATGTAAAATGTCGAGAATTGCATTGGTTTGTGATTGGATGTGCCGTCTTAGTTGTAATAAGCTGTAAAGCCTCTATTCAAGGAATAATTTTCGTGGAATTATCACAGATTTTTTCATTTGTATTTAATAATAATCGCGTCACATTATTTCAGGATCTATATTACTTTATTTCCGTACAGACTTCACGAATGAACAACAAATTCCTTATTTAACGGCGATAAACATCATCTCAGAATGAGTTGATAAGGGATAATTAATCAGTGAAAACAACACTTTTTTGATCCCACTCATCAATATTGAATTCTGGAATGTCTTCAGGGGTTTCATTCATTGCGGTTTCATTGCGGAGTTTTTTGAAAGGAGAACGTCCCTCAACTCTCCAAAAATGTATAAATTCAATAAACAGGACGAAAAACGCAAAGGAAACCCCGATGAACAGCAGAAAGATTGCTGGAATGAACTCTTTCAATCCGACTGGAACCGGCTTAGAACTGTAACTCTCTGGACATTTAGGTCGAGGTGTGTACCAAATTGAGAACTGTTTAATCATCAGACCATGTTGCACGATTTGTCTCAATCTGAAAAAAAACAGCACAGCAAATGATTGAAAATTAAAAAATGGGAAAGAGAATCAGGGAAGAAAATTATTTTTACTAATTTCATTGGTGCCAAACAAATTAATTTCACACAATAATTCAATTTGAGATTGTGACTAAAGATTTTTAATTATCCTATTTCTTATTAGCTATCTAAAATATAGTTTCTTGGGAGAATTTTATTTTAACAACTAATCAATAGTTTGATGGAATTCGTGGAAACATACCCGTAGATAATCATTTTTTTGAATGGAGAACGTTTAGCAGTGAGTAACGTCACCTTCGCCCAAGTAATCATCGGCATTTCGTGCAATTCACAAATCTCGTTCTCTTCAAGTGTATTCTGAAATGAAAACAATTCCTCCAGTTTTTAAAATTTCTGAGAAACTGTCAATCAGATTGACGTGAAAAAAATTCCTGTTTTTGCTTTTATCATTATTCAATGACTCCCAAATTTTCATAGTCGTGTATCTATTTTTTTCAATTTTTCGGAAAGTTTTGGGAATTTTTTTCAAAGTAATAATAAGAAAAATAATAAAATTTGGCGACAGTATATTTTAACAATTTTAACAATTTTAACAATTTTTTATCAGAAATTTGTAAAAAAAGCTTGAAAAATGAGAAGATATTGGCAATAACTCTTTAAAACTTCTCAGTAATGCATTTTTTACATAATTTTGCGGTCATTTTGCACATTACACGCATTTATGAAATGCGAATATCGCATGCCACATCCACATTCCTTCATTTTCACGTTTAAACATTCCAGAGAGTTTTTACCTGGGCCAGATTATAACCAGTGGCAGTGTCGATGTAGAACGCAAATCCCCCTTTCTTCACTTTCTTCATTCCGTCGACAGCTGTCCAGAAGGAGCCTTTAGGTCTTTTGCTGTTCGGTTTTATCTTCTTCTGGTACAACTCAATGTGGGAAGGAGTCTTCATAATCTGAAAACCACCATTATCATCATCATCAACATTTTTAATACCATCGCATACAAATAAAAATTGACCTACATTGAAGTAATCATACATCCAGGGAATATCTTCAGCTCCGGCCTCGAGTTGACTGTCACTTAGATTTTTAATTGTATTGATAGTTCGAGGAGGTGATGTTAGAAGAGAGCCAACTATGCTGGCAGAATAGAATTGAAACAGGAGAAGCGCCCATAGAAATAGAGACAGGAAAACGATTCGCCCTGAGATTATCTGAGGACCTTCGCTCAAACCTTTAATGATTGTGGAGATAGTTTTTTAGAAAAAGCAAATCAAATGAATAACCCAGCTAAACTAACATGTTATTTGTTTACACTTAATGAATTCATTTCAAAGCACATATACTTTGAAGGTATAATATTATTTACCTTGTTGAGAAAGCGCGGCCAATGCTATCAATCCACTTTCCGAGGCGGGAATTTCGAAAGCGCCTCTCGCCTCTCTTCTGCCCAAATAACCTTCATTATAAT